TTGAAGGAGTACTTGAGTGGAGTTTTAATATCCATCTGTGACCTTAATGCTAACCCTATAAATATATGCATATAGATCTATTTCCCCATCATCATATAAATATATTTACATGTATACATAACTGTATTTAGACCTCTATAAATGTCCTTTGCCACCTAGTTCTTTCCCCTATTTCCTTTTACTTTCCTCTTGTCCCACTATTGTGCTCAACCGTCATTTGGGTTTCAGTAATTCCTCTCGGTTACATTGCCCTTGATCAAGCCCTACCAGGCCTCTTATACCCTCCTCACCACTGAGTTTGGATCACTTGTTGTTCCCTTGTCCCTGGATTTGTTAACACCACTTCCTTTCCCCAACCTCCCTCTCTCCCATGTCCCCCCAGAATCATCAGTCCTATTGTTTTCGCCTCCAGATTGTTTATCCAGCCTATCTTATCCAGATAGGCCTGCAGAAACAATAATATGCACAAGAACAAGACAGAGCAAAACAAAGCAACAAAACAGCAACCAGAAAAAAAGCATTGACCAAAAAAAGAAAAGTCTGTAAATAGTTCAAGGCATGACACTCCATCAGACTCAACCGGAAAACACTCCTGAAGGTCAACGGACAGATAATTCAAATTTTTCAAAAATAAGTTCAAGCTTTGTGGAACCAGTTGTAACTATAGACTCCCTGAGACTTTGACCTTCAGAAACTCTTTAAACCTTGATTGGAAAATTTTCCCTTGATGTCATCTTTTAGCAAACTAAAAGATTGGCGCACAAGATAAAGGATGGACTGGGCTTTCTTCTTCTATAGACAGTTAGTCTCAGAAGCCCACAGGGCGTCACTCTGAGTCAGCATTAACTTGATGTCCGTGAGTTATCTCTTACAAGCGGTCTACCATTTTAAGGAAGTATGCAAAAAATCACGTATATAAGGCGAAAAAGGCAACAATGACTCTGAAGTAAAGATAAGATGGTCACAGGGTTGGGGAACTGGAGTACTGGACAAAGAGCAACCACAGTGGTTAAACCAAATGCTGACACACTGGAGAGTGGAACTAATGTCATTGAAAACTTCAGAAAGTGTCACATGTGAAACTTACTTGCTGTGTAAACTTTCAGCAAGAACATTAAAGTTCTATTTTAACCCAAAGACATTTGCTAGGTACATGTTTTTGACATCTCTCACTTCTCTATGAGGTTTCTCATTCATCATCCTACAACATGGTTCAAAGAGCATATTCAGATCTTGAGCTGCACAGGAGGAGTTTGGAAAGTCCCAAGCCCTTCACAGCAGTGATACTTAGATGGCTTTAGAGAAGGGCCAAAATTGTGATGTGTACCTAAAGTACATTTAGTGATGAACCATGGGAGTAGTCAGTGATAGAGGGGTGTGCCAAAGAGCTATGGGAAAACAGGTATAGTATCTATTATACGAGGGGGTACCCCCCCTGCCAAATGGAAAAAAGCTCCACTGTGTGGAGCTTTCCTAGTATGCATTTCTCTGGCGAGGCAAGCACCAAGCAACTTGCTCTGAGTTAGTGCACCTAGTGACATCGCCTAGGAAGGTCCTTTCTTACCATCATGAATTTTTTCTTGAAAGCAGTTTTACTCAAACCTCGTTTTGTGTGATGGCTGATTTAAGAGAACGGCATGCAGCTGTGAAATTTTGTTTCCTAGTCGGGAAAAGTACCGCAGAAATTGTTGATATGTTGAACACCACTTACAAGGACAGTGCTATGGGAAAAACTCCTGTGTGTAAGTGTTTTTCTCCCACGGTGAGAAATGTTGATTGATGATCAACCGTGTTCTGGACGTCCATCAACTTCCTGAACACATGAAAATGATGACTTGTACTGCATTTGAAGTTCATTCTACCAGGTCAGATGTTAATCAAGCTTTCTATTTAGAATTCTGAAACGATAGCGGAATAGTGTGTAACAAAACCCAGACTTGTATCAGTTAGGGTATTGGTTTTGCCATCAAGACAAGGTACCTGCTCACCCAGCCATCTCAGTGCACCAATTTTGGGCAAAAAACAGGATGCCTCTCTTGCCCTATGCACTTGACTCACCTGATGTCACTCTGTGCAACTTCTTTTTTTTTTTT